CTCTCTCTCTCTCTCTCTCTCTCTCTCTCTCTCTCTCTCTCTCTCTCTCTCTCTGTATTCAAACAAAAACAAAAGAAAACAACATGTTATTCGTTAAAGTAGGACATTATACTGTGTCCTCTTTCTAATGAATTCATTTGTGGCTGCAGCCTAAGCAACGTAGGCATGCCCATCCAGGGCTTAACCACATGCAGAAGCGTGCTGAGATCTGCACTTGTGAAACTTTATAATTGAAATCCCAAATGCGGAAGCGTGTAGAGACCCACACATGTTAGGCACGCTACCCGCGAACCCTGTGCGAAAATGTGTTGGGATCCTAACTTATTGAACTTCAAAAACGTGTTGGTGATCCTGTGGGGAATTGTGTTGGGATCCATACTACTCAAACTTCATAAACGAATAACGATTGGCACGCCACATAGGGAACCCTGTGCGGAAATGTGTCGGGATCCTTACTTGTCAAACTTCAATTTCATAAATGTGATAAAAGATATTATATTGTGACACTGTTCTGTTTCTTACGAATTCGTTTTTGACTGAAGTGTTTCCACATAGGCGTGCCCATCCACTCGACCGAAATGCGAAAGTTTGCTGACATCGATAGTTGTTGAACTTTGTAAGCAAAATTAACAATGTAATCAGATTGAAATGGAGAGACTCAGTATAATTCTTTTGGTTATCCCAAAGTTACACATGCAGGTTCATCGTCTTGTTGAAGACGTTTGTTTAGATGTATGATGAGATCCGGACTTGTTTAGAAGACTTGTGACCCTGACAATGGGCGGGAGTGTGCCAAGATCCATACTTGTTAAACTCAAAGCTTACATATGTGATGAGCAAGGTGTCATGATCGAACCGTTGTTGGTTAACACATCAAATTTTCGTTTACCATGTTATCCCTAAGTTATACAAGCACACCCATCGTCTCACCCGAGACGATTGTTTGGATGTTGAAGAGATTCGGACTTCCGCATATAGGCACGGTCATCATCTCGCCCGACATGAGCGCACTGAGGAACATACTTTTTTACAGTTGTGATAGGCAAGGTGTATTTTAATAACCACTTTATTTCGATATTCTATGTACAAGTGTAGAACTTTAAATTGTGCTCATTCACGATGAATATCGCACTTAAATGGTCATGCAAAGAAGGTTTTGGCATCCACTGACCAATTTCACATAAGATGACATTTCTCATGCATCCACCAATCAGTTTCACAATCATGTTTACACTTCCAGTTGGACAGAATTTGAAACATGGAACCCAATACTTGTAGTTGAACAAAATTTGAAACATGGAACCCAATACTTGTAGTTGAACAGAATTTGAAACATGGAACATAACGTATGACATGTTCCGCTGCATGAGAAACGACTGCGACGTGACAGAGATCACAAAGCCCATACATGACGCAGGACATGCAATGAGCTTGCCGTAGACAACCCAAACTCGGAACGACAAAAGAAAGCAATTATGTCCTTGGCAGAAGGACAGTTGAATAATGTCTCGATTTACAAAATTCAATGCGCAACGAATGAAACACCTTAAGAAAAGAGTTTCTGAGTCAATCAAATCCATCAAAGACAACGATGTTCTAAGATACATGATGTTAATTGTCGTCTAAGAAGCGGAATATCTTTATAAGAGAACCGGAAATGTGGTCGATCTCCACGTTGCAACAACATCGCATACATCAACATGAACACCCCACAGCTTGCTCAATCCACTTGTCTCGGAACTCCATCCACCACAACATTTCCCACTATCGACTTCCAACTCCTACTCGACCGCCTATGTGATGTTTGACGTTCCAAATACTGCACAATCAACCCGAAAACAGAAAGGTAAAAACTAGAATCAGATACAACGTGAGAGAAGAATAAAAAATTTCGAGAACATCATCTCTCATGTTGACGGAAAGGAGGATCCAGTGATCATCACATTTGTGGACAGGAACGAAGACAATATCGTAACGAAGCAAATCTACGTTTCTAGCCCACCTCCGCACCCCACCGTGTCCTTGAAGTCGCAGTTTACTGAAGAAGAACGAATTACAGTTGAAGACTTGAAGGCCCGACGAGATGTCACGTGACCCACATGCGGTTGACCCCAACAATGCCATATAGAAATTGACCACCTCATCATTCACCCTGCCGTCGACATGCAGTAGGGTGAGGAGATCTTTTGCTGCAATCTGAAATTGACCATCGCCCAGTATAGAGAGAACAGTGTGAGATGGCACCGAGCCTCGTACAATGTCGTCCAAAACCCGCAAGCTCAGAGGCTGAATCGCTGCAGCGAAACTTTTCCCGCATGCTGCACTTGCGGCCCGCACTGCACAACATCGAGCAAAGGAGACGTGGGGTAGTGAGAAACGGAGTTCTAGGCATTGTTCCCCGGTGCATGACGCGTTGCTAAGTACTTCTCATACATGGCCTGACCCCTACTCACAGATCGTGGATATGTCCCTTTCTCTGGGACAAGAAGGGAAAGACATTCCTCAATGGCAACGGTGTACTTCTTCTTCCCGATCCCGACATCAACCCCTGATGCCTTTAACATATCCTTGTGTTTTGTAGTCAACCCAGGGACTTTCTGCAATATGTGCTCAAGATATTTTGAGGACCTCCATGTTCGAGACGACTCCACCCCTGTACAACAGAAGAAAGACAGAACGGAAAATAAGAATCATACAATCACACAGACGCAACAGTCAAGTAGGACCTCTCCGACCATAGGACCCTGATTTCACGTGGTCATGTGCACCCAGGTGCGGTTATGCTACTGGAAAACAAAACGACTGCAACATTCGAGCTTAACACCCCCACACTTCGCAAAGGAAAACCACCACAACTCACAGAAGCCAAAGACCAGCAATCCCCGAAGTTTGGACTGCGGCGGACTTTTCAATACACCAGCCCCACTGAGACTGACCACATCACGCATCGACAAAAGAAGTTCGGATCCCGGCGGACTAAAAACGACACTAATCCCGAGAAGGAAAAACCATCAGTCCATCTACTTGGCCACTTTCTTAGCCCCTTGGCCACTTCCTCAGTCGGGGCAGATCCTTCCTTGGATGGAGTGTAAGTTTGTCGACGAACTTTTCGCCGCCCTCGACCAGCAACCCGACCGAGTGACAGATAAAACATAGGATTCGTGAAAACCAGAGAACAGGAGAAAACCCAACAATGTGTATAGACAGAATAAACAAAAATGAAATGATGAATTTTGACATTCATAATGTACAATTTCAGGTCCATGTTGCACAAAATTCATGTAGAAACGGATCTAAATATTGTTCTAAACAAGGCAAAAGACAAATATTAGCGAAAAAAGTCATTTTTCGAGAAACGATAGTGACTCTCAATTATAACATCCCAAAATGCACATTAATAGTCACCTCTCTCCGACTCATAAAAACATGTGTGTCGAATGCAAAGAAAAATTGAGAGTTTCTCATGCAAAAGGAGCAGTCTCGGTGTCAGTCGCAAAAGAAACAGAAAAGTACTGATAAAAAGGAGGTGTCTAGGTGACAGTCGCAAAAGAAACAGAAAATAACACAAAACAATAGAGAAAGTTCTTTCGAGTTCTTCGTCCGAGTTTTAAAACCCAAATGTTGTAAGCACAACAACCACTCCTCTAACACGGAAAGACAGATTTGAGTAAAAAAAAAAGTCCGCGACTCGTTGAGAAAATATTTTGAAGCTGCTAGTGGAATGTTGAGAAGAAACGAATAACCATTTAAGACAGTAATGAAAACGTATTAAAAAACTATTTGATGGAAAAAGTAGCTCTAAGTGAAAACAGTTTTCAATGTTAAATAATATTTAGGATATAGCCCTATATCCGAGAAAAGGTACTAATATATTTTTCAGTCTTACGCATTAAAACAATTGTTGTGATGGATGCTTTATCAACATTTCAATGTCAAATATTAACGAGGTTCATAGTCTTATATCCGGAAAAATGAAGAATATTTATTTCGGGTCTAAATGATATTAGCAGTGTTATGATACTATTTTTCCAACATTTGATTCTTAAATATCTTTTGTATACATAGTACTTTATCACAGAAAAAATATTATATTGTTTCCAGGCTTATTAATTTAAGCAAATGTTATACTTACCTTTTTTTTCACATTTCAATGTTAAATATTGGTTGGATATATAGTCCTATATCACAGAAAACATAAGAGTATATTTCACAGTCTTATTCATCTCAGCAAATGTTGTGCGGATTATTTTTTACACATTTCAATGTTAAATATTGTTTGCGTATATAGTCCTATATCACATAAAACTAAAGATTTTATTTTGGAGTCTTTAAACATCTCAATAAATGTTATGCTGACTATTTTTCAATATTTCAATGTTAAGTAATCTTGGACATATAGTCCTATATCACCGAAAACTAAAGAAAGTTTTTTCAGTCTTATTAATATCAGCAAATGCTCTGCGAACTATTTTTCTCACATTTCAGTATTCAATATTGTTGGGGTATATTACAGAAAACGTAACATCTGTTTCGCTAACATTTCAATGTTAAATAGTCTTTTGGTACTTAGTTTTAAATAAGAAAAAACGTACTAACCTGTTTTACAATTTTAGCATATGTTCAAAACGATCGAAATGCAAAAAATTGTTCGAAAATGTTGTGATAGTTGTTTTTCCAACACTTCGATCTTAAATATTATTTGGGTCTAAAGTCCTCTAACAAAGAAAACTAAAGAAGCTATTTTCCAGTCTTGGTAAAAGAATGTGAAGGTAAAAGGAGCTTTTTTCCAGTCTTGGTAAAAAAATTTGAAGGTAAAAGGAACTCCAAGGGAAGCTGTTCAAAGTAGCTGATGGAATCTTATCAAGAAAAATAATAACCATTTGAGACAGTAATCGAAATAAGACAATGCTAAGCTATGACAAGTTCTAATAGAAAAATAATAACCATTTCAGACAGTAATCAAAATAAGACAATGCTAAGCTATGACAAGTCCTAATAGAAAATTTGATATATCTACAGTAAAAGTCGACTAAAGTTATTCCTAATGATTTACGAAAGTAACCACATCAGTCAAACAGTCGTTCTCGTCGTTCTTCTCGCTAGTGGTCTGACACTCGTTCGCAGGTAACGCCAAGATGTTTTCGCCTTGATCATCATCTACATCCATTAATTCTAACATTTCATAAATCTTCTTCTTCGTCACAGCTAACAGGGTCTTGTCCGTCTTCAGATCAAAGTTGTAACATAGAACACCGCAGCTCCAATCGAAGATGTCCTCAAAATACTCCCTTGTTCGCCTTCCTTGAGCATTCCTCCTGTAGCAAGGGTAGTAACCATCTCCTTTCTCCCGTTGAGCAAACCAGGCCACTTTGAAGCGTTTTCCAGGCAGCAACTCGACAACCTTTCCGATGTGGTAAGGTTTGCCTCTTTCTTGCTGCCCGGGCAAGGCTCGCAGGGTGATAAACTTGTTGACTACGAGGTCTTCGTACTTCCCATCTCTTTCTTCTCGGTACTGTCTGCTCTTTCTCGCGCCAACGTAAACGGGTCTTTCAGGAGGGAAGACATCATCCAAGCACTGACCAACGTCTTCAGCAGTTTGAGGCCTAAAATCTCCTCCCATTGCCTCGTCCTCTACTATTGTTGGCCACTGGAAAGGCTCTTTTAGATTAGTGTCTTCCATGTCCAGTGCATCCTGCATTTGAATGAAGTCTTTCCACCATTGAATGTTGCGTGGGATGTAGGGCGCCAATGCATCTATGTTCGCTTGGAGGGCGGCCAGTGAAACAACACGATCGTCGACCTTGCTCTTGAAACTGTCCCGTCTGTCATCGACATGTCCACAAGTCAGCCTAAACCTAGCTTCCAAAGATCGAATAGGATGTTTGGGTGAAGCACGAATTTGTCCTCTTGGCTCGGATTTGAAGATGTCCAGACCTTCTCTATTATTGGGATGCCACTGTGAGTTGTGATATTGCTTGCTCCAAATTCTGACGTCTCCCTCATCATTGCGTTTAATACAGAAATGCTGATTAAAAATGATATCATTCACCTTTTGCAGATGATCCTCGACGAACAATTTCCAGTCCATTGTTTCCGTCATTTCATCAACAGTAACACCATGCTCTTGTTCTGCCTTGTATGACTCTCTGATGATGTGTTGCAACTCAAATAGATCGTACGCATCCAGTAGAGCCAACTTCCTCGAGAAACAGCTGAACATTTGATCTATGTCATCGTGCGTGTGACCTACGAGAAGAAAGTTCAACTTGACTTTACTAAAGACATTCATCTTCACTAAAAAGACAAGATATGCTAACACAAACTTGTTCTTGTTCTCTTTCGAAGTGTTGTCCAGTGTCAGATAAAGGACTATCGGGAACGGTCTAGGGAGTTGACAAATCTGACGGTAAAGAACAGTTAACATGCAATTATAATCTGATTTAAAGTTGTCAAAGAACAATGTTGCAAAAGCGCTGGGAACAGAGCCTACTATCTTTGCCCCAACAACATGAACTTTCACGAAGTTCGCTTCTTTGAGTTTCGTGTCCTTCGGGGGCCTATTGAAGTGCAGCAGTATCGTCTTGCTCTGATTCATGCCATCGATAATCATGGCTACTTATTATTTTGGCTTGCTTGAAGCCTTGTGTCGATGCTTGTTAAGCTTTGGTCCCTCCTCTGATTGCATGAGTTGATGCTTCTCTAGTGCCCTCTCGAATGTTTCTGCCATCACAGAGACAATTGTACAAACGATTAAAGCATTGTCACTTAGAAAAATATAAACCGAAATGATCAGCCATTTTAAATAAATGTCCTCTTTTCTTTTAATATCGATTATTTTTCTGAAACAATTTCTGTAAATACTGAAGTCATTCGTAGTCGCGCAACCGACAGACTGTTTAGGATAAAGCTTTTTAAGTTAATTGCTTCCAGAATAGCTAGCAATAAATGACTTTTTTCTGTCTACTGTTCTTTTAATGTCGACGATTTATCTGAAACAATTTATGTAAAGATTACAGTCATCTATAGTCGCACAACCAATAGACTGTTTAGGATATAGCCCTATAAGTTAATTGCTCCCAGAATGCCTAGCAATTAATGATTATTTCTTGAATAATTCACAAAGAGTGCCTTTTAGGTGTGTCATCCACTTGTAGGGCTTTACATCAAATAGTTAGTGCGCAACTCACTTAGACTAAAACCCGAAACAACCAGTCAGTTTAAATAAATGTTCATTTTTCTTTGAATATCGATTATTTTTCTGAAACAATTTTGTACAGATTGCAGTCATTCGTAGTCGCGCAACCGACAGACTATTTAGGACATAGCCCTTTATGTTCGTTGCCCTCAGATTGACTACCAATAAATGACCATTTTTTATCCACTGTTCTTTTAATGTCGACTATTTTTCTGAAACAACTCATGTAAAGATTACAGTCATGCGTAGTCGCACAACCGACAGAATGTTTAGGATATAGCCCTATAAGTTAATTGCTCCCATAATGCCTAGCAATAAATGATTATCTTGGATAATTCACTTAGATTACCTTTTTGGTGCGTACCCACTTGTAGGGCTTTACATCAAATAGTCAGTGAGCAACTCACTTAGAGGACTCAATCTTCAACAGCCCGAACAATCGATTGAAGTGACTCAAACCCGAAACAACCCTAAATATCAAGGACTCTCTCTGCTCTTTCTGCAAAAATCCCAAACACGATGGAATCAGCTTTGAGGAGAAAACAGAGAGAGTTGGAGAGAGAGAGACAGACAGGGAAGGCAAGATTCACGGACAACATTAATATAGGCCTATATCTCTTTGTTTCACGTAAGAATTTAGGCACATTGCAATTTGCAAAAATTTGTATGAAAGAACAAACAAGTGAGAGAGAGAGAGAGACAGACAGACAGAGAAGGAGAAATGCACGGGTAGCTTGATATGTAGATAGAAAGGAGAAATTCACGGACAACTTGATATGTAGCCCTGCATCCCTTTATCTCAATCTTCTAATTCTTGAACCTTTTGTGTTCGTTTAGCAAAGAGACCAAACATGATGGATTGATCTTTGAATGAACGATGTAAGAAAGAATCACAAATGCATGCACGCACGCACATACACACTGAGAGAGAGAGAGAGAGAGAGAGAGAGAGAGAGAGAGAGAGAGAGAGAGAGAGAGAGAGAGAGAGAGAGAGATTATCTTACCTCGTTCAATGCGGTTTGTTGCCTGTGAGAGTCATGTCTTGAATCGCAAACATTGGCTGCAAACTGAGAACCTCTTTAGTGTAGGAATGAGAACTTTGGGGCAATGGTCCCTCCAAATTGTCATAAACCGTGAACTCGAAGGGAAAATGGAGGAGTTGTAAAGTGATGCGCACTCCTTCTGGAAAAATTCATAAACATCTTTGCGTAGAAGAGTCTCCGAAAGATGAAATTGGTCGCTGTTCGGCATACTTTCAACGTTGTACCGAAAATACTCGTGCAACCAAGAAAGAATATGCAACGATGATACAGACAAACCACCCGTTCCCTTGTTACGAACTTACGATGTTCGTACGTGTGCACTCCATCCTTGAAAGTTGCACGAACGCTTGCTACACGTGTAGTTGAGCATCCGTAAAGCTTTCCCCATGCTCTTGTGCAAACCTTGATGCCATTGAATAAGCCTCTTAGCATCTCTAACTAACCTTCATCTGAGAAATACGACGCAACTCTCATCTTGGTGATAAGGAAGTTGACTTGCTCCGGTTGTTTCATCGCCCAAAATGTTTCGCGCATGTAATAGACATCTTCCGAGTGGAACTTCTTATAATATGCCGCCTTGCAGCAGGACTCCTTGAGAACTTCTTCCACTCTCTTCATGTTCATGTGGTAGTTCGCCTTCTTGTTGTACACACGCAAGTTCGTACCTCCTTTCCCTAAGTTGTAAGGAGGTTTTTCGCTCTTTTTTGACTTGCTGAAAACACCTCTTCTGACCTCTTGTAAGGAGGTTTGCTTCGCTTCTCTAATACCTTCTCCCGATGGTATTTTGCTGAACATATCGAAAACACAGTCTTGAAAAGCTCCGTCGTTATTGGGGGCTTCCTCCCTGCTCTCCGCATTGTCGTTCTCCATTGTATCTCCGCCATGATCACAAGCGTTGGCATACATCACGTCCTCTGTGTTTTCTTCCCCATGATCTACGAAAGCAGCTTCTTCTAAAGCTTCGTCCCTTCTTACAACCTCGTCAGTGTCTTCTTCGTCGTTATTCTGGCATGCATCGCCTCGAGGAGTTCCCTCATCTGCATCAGTATTCACAAATGCAGCTTCTTCTGAAGCTGTAACCCTTCTTACATCATCCTCCGCATCTTCTCCGTCTGCAGCTTCTTCTGAAGCCATGTTCGTTCTTACGATGTCCTCCGTCTCTTCTCTGTCGTCATTCCGACATGCATCTTCAAGAGTTCGGTTCTCGCTCGGTTCCTCGTCAGTGTCAATCTCGTCTAGCCGTTCTCAAAGTGCATTCGTGCGCCTGCGCTTCTGAGAGCTTGTATTCTCAATCATCCTTTCTCTTGGGTGGTCAAAGATTGGGAAGTACGATTGCATATGGCGAACTCTCTTCGTCCCTCGGGAAGACGCACAAGCCTTTGTACAACCATCATCTTTCTCTACCGAACTATTGTCAAGGTGAGAAAGAGTTGGTGGTAGCCACCTGACAGTGGTAGTCTTCTTACTCTTACTATCTGGGCTTGTCTTGGATTGAGATGGCTTTTGAGGAAACCATCTGACAGTGGTAGCGTTGCTACTCTTGTCAGTTCTCGGACGATGACGCCCCCTTCCTTTCAAAGAATACATGTTAAAAGGAGCTCTATCCTACAACATCTGTCTTCGGAGTTAGAGATGACCAAGAGTGACATCACCAGAAAACAATACAACGTGATCACTGAAGAAAGACAGACGCTAGAAAGCGGAAGCAATGACGTTGCCGGACTACGTTCAACATCTAATGACGTCACCGGACTACGTTCAACATCTATCTTCTAAACGTAGAGGCCGCGGACACCTTTCAACGTCAGAGTAGAACATGCACTGTCCGCGGGACTAAAATAAAGCTTTAGATCGTAATCAGCTGCGGGCACCTGATTCCCGCCAACGGTGGCTTTCTTAGACCACAACTGGCCAAAATTTTCATGAAAGTGGCTTTCTTGGACCACCACCGACAAAACTTTAGAACAACCCGCTGCTAGGACTCCCACCAAAACTGAAGTTGTGAGCACCTGATTCCCGCCAAGGATTTTAACGGACCGACAAAACTTTTCATGAAAGTGGCTTTCTTAAACCACGACCGACAAAATTTTTGAAGAACCCGCTGCTAGGGCTCCCACCAAAACGTGAGTTCGTCGTCACCCGGGGACCCCCGGGGGCAAAGCCGGGGCCGGGATTTCACCCCCGGACCCCCTCCCGCAGGGGCGCCGACCCCCGGACCCCGCAATCAACCCCCGCGCCCGCCCGACCCCCGGCACCCCCGCGGGACCCC